GCTTAGAATGTTTTAAATTAACATCATTTTAGAGGGAAGGCAAATCTTTTTAGCAGAACTGTTAGACACAGTTCCGATATTGTGTAATTTGAAGTTGAATTTTTAGTAGATTTCAAGTCAGAGGAAGACAGTGTGAGGGAGTTGTGTCAAAGGCATTTTCCAGGGTGAAAAGGCTCCTGAAGAATGGGAGAAAGAAGTCTGAAGAGTTGGGAGTGGAACCCTGAAAGGAATCAAGAGAGGAATGAACATGGCTGGCATGGGCACTTACTTAAAATGGAAGTTTCAGGAGGAACTGACCAATCAGTAGAAGAGGCTGATAAGTGGGGACCGGGACGGAGGTGTGGGGGTGTGGTGTACTGGGAAGCAGCTGGTGATTCACTGGTAGAGTAAGAGGAGGTGTGAGCCCTGGAGCCCTAGTGCATGAAGCCAAGGCAAAGGAGCAGTGAGTAGTAGATGGTATGGCAGCAGTGAGTAGAATTTCTTGGCTAACCCCCTTGAGGGGTGGCTTCCCTCAAAAGCAGGGCTGATGTTGGCAGTGAACTTTGGCACTATTTCTGGCATGTGTTTCCTGCTTCTCCACTCTCCATGCTACCTCTATCAGGCTTCATGACCACTTACCTGCGCTGTTGTCTAGCCTCCTGATTAGTGTCTGATTCTTCCAGGCCACTCTTTCTTTTATCCATATGCCCAGAGAGTTTCCCCAATGTGAAGTATGCCTAGGTCACAGGCTTTTGAGCCAGGGAACTAACTGATCCTTTTCCAGAGTCATCTGGAAAAGTCATTCTCCATTACCTATTGGATAATATACAAAATCCATTTTGTTTTTGACATTAAAGATTCTTTACTATTTGGCTCCAATTTAACCTCTCCAGCTTTACCTTAATTTACTTCTTTTCACAAACTTTCCATTCTGATCAAACACGCCTTCTAGTTTGTGACATTTCATTTCCACCACCATTCTTTTGCCACCCTGTATTTCCCTGTGTCTATAACGTACTTCCTCCTCGCCTCCATCCCTTACAAAGTGAAGCTTGTGGGTACCATATTTTAGCCCTTTCCTGAAACATACTCTACCCTCTCACACCTCCAACTTACTAACCTGTTTTCACTCATTTGTACTTTACATTTATTTGTGTACAAGTCAACTCTTTGATTTCAAGGACTATTTAATTTTTTTGCCTTTTTATACCCCACTGCCTTTTGCAAAGTAGGCACTTAACATGTTTGTTAAATTGAATTCAATTCTTGACAAACCAGCATACTTGCTGTCCCCTGATCTGCTCTCTTCACTGCCTCTGTACATTTGGACAGAGTGTTCCTGCTCCCTAAAGTGTACTGCTTTCACTTCTCTGCCTATTGAAATCATCTCCAAGGCTTGACTCGGGGACCATTTCCTATATGAAGCCTTCCTCTGTCAGGCCTTTCAGATCAATGTAGTTGTAATTTTATCAAGTATCCTGTTGTTGTACTTTGTCAGCCCTCTCTTTGCACTTAATCACATGCTTCCTGGTATCATATTTAATTCTATGCATCGCATCTCCTCCTTTAGATTTTTAGCTCCTTGAGGTCAAAACCCTGATTTTTCATTAGGATTCTGGTAGAAGTTGGATTTTGATCCGTCTTGAAGGAAGCCAAGGAGTTCAGGAGGCAGAAGGAAGGAAGAGCATCCCTGGAAGATCAGTGGTGCTGTATGATATGAGATAGAATGGGTGATCCGAGAGATTGAGTTTTCTGAACTCTTGAAATACCCTATACAAGAGTTACTGTTGTTTACAGTTTACTGGATTGTTTTATACTCTGTAGAGAGCTTTATTTCTTGTTTAGGGCAGGATGCAAATGGGGCAGCCTGGATCATTCGCCTCATACTAGGTTGTGGTAGCTTAGCCTTTCAACACTGGAGATAACCCTCGACCGTAACACAAGTATGTTATTGTGTTTGGGTCTAAAGCTCTGGATTGGCCTAGTGTGCTTGTCTTCATTGCTTGTGATGTTACATAACAACTTGGTTCTGTAAAATCGGCTTCTTTGGAATCACACAGTTGGACTGAAATATTTATGAAAGTTTGCCAAAAGAGGAACTGCTGACAGAGTTTAACTTAACTTGAATAACCACAGCTATACAGCCTTGGCCAAATCTCTCCCTAATAGGTTCAGTTCTGCTCGTATTAGAATGCCCCTCCTGTTCTGAGATGTTAGGGGTTGCTTGGCCTTTTGTTTTACTGGAATGTTGTTTCTCTAGTCCTTGTGCTCCTGGGGTCAGATCAATTTTGGTAGTGAAGTTTAGGGAATAGTTTCTAATTGAATGTTAAACATGCCTTCTTGCCAAATACTGTCTTTCATTATTATATTTTTCTAAGTGCATATAGGCTCACAGATTTTAGCTTGACAGGACCTTAGAGATTAACAAAGGTGAAAACATTTTCTTAAATGAATTTTCTCTAAGGCTTGTTTCCTTCCCAGCACCAGAAAGTTCAGGTTTCTGCATTAGGAATGAAAATAAATAAATCTATGATCTGGGATCCTAATTATTATGTATAGTTGGGAGAAGCTTGCTTCTTTTAAAATTTAACTGCTTTGGCCATAACATTGAAACTGGGATTCATGGATTTTCAGGAATAGGATAATCAGGAATGAGATTGTGATCTTTAATGTACCATTGCTAGCATAGGGATAGGCTGAGTATGTGGGCTTTTTTTTGGAGGAGAGGAATTTGATACAGGAAAGCCTGAGAACAACCCTTAGATACACCACTGGAACCTAGAAAGAAGCACTCAGACAAATATTAATTGAATGTTGGTCTTCTGTGTCAGTATGTAAGAGGAAGTTTTCCAGAAGTTCATCCCTCTCAAGTAAAAAGTCTGCTGTTGTAGGAGCAGCTAGGTGACACAGTGGATAGAGCACTGGCCCTGGAGTCAGGAGGACCTGAGCTCAAATCCAGCCTCAGACCAGACACTTAACACTTGCTAGTTGTGTGATCCTGGGCAAGTCACTTAATGCCAATTGCCTAAAAACAAAACAAAACAAAAAGTCTGCTGTTGTTACCTCACAAGCTCCAGCTTTGTACAAAATAGTTGATAATATTTGTTGAGTTGCATTCACGTTTCTGCTCCAACTTCTTACTACTGGGGGGTTACTCAGTTCTTGTTGTGCATGCCACTAGCAATTGCTAAACTTTTGATTGCTGGACCTACTATATTAGAGTAAGCTCCATGACGGCGGGGATAAATTAAACATGTCTACTTCAGAATCTTAGCAAACACCTCTACATGTAGCAGGTGGCGCTTATATAGCTTCTTTTTGGTCTTTGGGTTTTTTTTTAATGAGGCAGTTGGGGTTAAGTGACTTGCCCAGAGTCACACAGCTAGTAAAGTGTTATGTGTCTAGGGCCGGATTTGAACTCAGGTCCTCCTGACTAAAGGGCCAGTGCTCTACCCGCTGCAGCACCTAGCTGCCCCCACTTATGTGTTTAAATGAATAAGTAAGTGAAAGAACAAACCTTCAGAGTATATTTCTTATTGGTCCTAGGAGAAAAAACTTATCTCTGGTCTTCTTTGGTCTTTGACATCAGTCTTCAGGTTTCTAGTGGTACAGGAAAAAATATGCTTTAGATCTTGACAGTCGTCACGTACAAGGCTAATTTTCCAGATGTTTGTGTGTGATGTTTGTGTCAGCTCAGTGCTCTCTGGGTTCAGTGTAGTCAAAGCCCTGTGAGTTTCTTTGTCCCTTACCTTGAAGTAAGACTCCAGGAAAATCTCAACGATAAAACTTAAGTACGGCTTGTGTCTGTGATTTCCCCAAAATGGGTAAAAGGGTTCCCAACTCTTACACAGGAACTCTGTAGATTTCATTGTTACAAAAAAATGTGTGATGCAAGGCAGAGACAGTGTCATCCTTTGTATTTGGGTCCCCAGTACTCTATATAATATCTCTATATATTAGGCCCTTAATAAATGCTTGTCATGTAATGAGTGACTCAAAGTCCATGGACAAATTCAGGAAAATAAAGCACTAAAATAGCCCAGGAGGCTTGTTGTACTGGAAGGTAAAGACTCTTTGTGGAACTGCTGGACAAACTACTCCTTATTCACTTACGTCATCTGAACAGTACATAGGAATAGCATGGATGGTTGGTAAAGCCAAGCTCCTCTGGCCCCTCATGCCTTTAGTCTCCCCAGTGATAGACAGTTCCCTTAAACTGTACGCTGTTGAGCAAATTTTCTACCTTAGAAGTCTTTACTTTCAAATGTAAGAGTTCCTTATTTTGGGGAGACTTGAGAACTCAGAATTACCTATTCGGTTAACCTTCCAATCTAGAAATATACTTTGTAAACTAGTCTCTGAGCTTAGGGATTCAAATACAAAATAAAATCATCCCTGCCCTCAAGGACTTCACATTCTACTTGGGGAGCAGCAGCACAACTTGAGTAAATACAAAATGTATAAAAATGATTTGTAAGAGATAGAGACGCTATTATGGGAGAGCCAGAAGGTGGTCGGGAAGACTCTGTTTTAAGAGGTGGCGTCAGAAGGGCGGTGTTGTGACAGCTGAGATGCTAACAGAGGTGAAATGGTAATATATTCCAAACGCTGGGGACAGCCTGTACAAAGGCACAGAGGTGAGATTTGTATAATAAGGCAATTTGGCTGGAATGGATTTATTGTAGAATGAAAATGTTATATTAAATAGAGTGATGGTTTATAGCTTTAAAAATAATATAGTAACCTTTTTCCTTTAAACTTGCTTAAAAGTTTAATGGGGCATATCTTGACCCTCTAAAAAATCTTTAACAATCTGTCATTTATCTGACTTAACCGTGATGATTATACTTGGTAGAATATTGCTGGCTATATCTTTGCTCTATAACTGACTGGTGAACATTACTTTATCTTCATCTACCTGCCTGGGGGTAGTTTGTCTAAACAGCAACTAGGACACTTAGAAATGTAAGTGTTGGGGAGAGTGTATTTGCTAAGTAGTGTTTTAACTTTGTATTTTGCAGATCTTTGAAATCCATCTTTAGTTAAGATGGCACCAGCAATTGGAGGTCCCCAGGGGTATACCCCACCAGAAGGAGGCTGGGGATGGGTCGTGGTTATTGGAGCTTTCATCTCTATTGGCTTCTCTTACGCATTTGCCAAATCAATTACTGTTTTCTTCAAAGAGATTGAAGTCATCTTCAATGCCACTTCTAGTGAAGTCTCATGGATATCTTCCATCATGTTGGCTGTTACATATGGAGGAGGTAAGTATCCATGCCACAGAGGGCCTTGACTAACCCTCATTAGTTTAGAAAAGATTCCTGGTTAAATAATGACGTGTTTGAAACAATAGTATTTATAGTTATGACTGGGGCTTTATTTGCAATTATCATTTGCCAGAAGAACTCTGCTATTGTGTGCCTTGTAAAGTCCAATATAATATACAATTCTAATATAGAAATTAAGAGATTTGAAGAGGCTGCAGGTTGCTTATGGAAGGAGCCATATTTGGCTGGAGAACTATGGTTGGAGTGTCAGCGCTTTGAAATTTCTGTTTGTTTTCCTCAATCGGAAAATGCTGGTAGCTAGTTTCTTATTGCTGCTGTCAGTTAAGTTTTCTGAAAACAAATTCTAAGTATGTGTTTGTTTTTGTTGATATTGGAAGAGTTAAAATTCAAGCTAACTTTTTTGGTTCCATGAAGAGGTTTCAGGTAAAAACTTTTCATGGTAATACAGTATCAAAAGTGAAGAATCTTCCTTTGTGTTTGTGACCTCATAAATATCAGAAACTGTTTAGCAAGGCTTCAGACTTACTTTTTGCTTACTTATCTTCCTACATTTTTTGAAATTGTATGAAAAGAAGATCATTACTTTCATTTTTTGTAAGGTAGTAATTTACAAGGCAGTAATAAGCATGGCGGTTGTTTGTGTTGCCTCTGGGCATCAAGCAGCATTCTTTTATATTTAAAAATCAAACAACCGTAATCCTTAATTTCTGTAGCATTTAGTGTTGTAGCAAAGCCTTGGCAGAGGATCTACTACAGACATTTATTAGATTTCATAAAGTAGACCCTCTTTATTTTATTCAAGATTTGACTTCTGTTTCCTCGTTGATTATGGTAGCAGTCTAATGTCTCAAATTCTGTTTTTTTAGTTGACTATAGATAAACTTAAGTAAGTTTTTGGAGTCTCCATGTTCCAGATGTTAATAAGATGAATAATAATGATAGCAGCAGTAATTTATATAATGTCCTATAGTCTTCAAAGTACTTTGACGTATATAGTTTCACGACTTACCCTAAGGCACTGAATTGGTGGGCAGAATCCATCCATTAGTCTTTTCTAAGTACCTGCCATTAGCTCAGTACTGTGTAAGTTGCTACTGGAGGGATGTAGATTAAGTTAGAGATATGGTCTTTGCTTTTGAGGGACTTACTTAAAGAGCTTCTGTTCTGATCAAGTACTAATAACGTAAGTAAACAACATGATAGTATGAAGGTAAATGCTGTGTAAGTTCCCAGGGTTATGTGGTTTGTTAGCGGCAGAGCCAGAATTTAGACCCAGGGCTTCTACCCTTCTGACCCCAAATCCATGAGTCTTTTCACTGTGCTTTTCTGTATATTTATAAGAAGTGCCTGAGAGTAATAAATTCCAAGCAACCAAAATTGCTAAAAACATACTTTGGGTAACCAGAATCTGGTAGCGAGCTTAGAATGCCTTTCCTGAAAGCAGTCTTGAGCCAATAGTCTGAATTAATGGGCTTGTATCACGTGTATTTTCTACATGAGGAAACCAAGGCCGAAAAAGAGAAACAATTTCTCCAGATTCTGCCTCTTATTGACAGAGCTACAGGTATAACCCAGGGCTCCTGATTTCTCATCTGGTCCAGTGCTCTTTCTGTTTCCAGTTAAGTTAGGTCAGGCCCAGTGGATTTGGAAAAGATTATGGGAGCCCAAAAGTCTGGAGTCTTGCCCTGTGCACCCCAGTATTCCAACAGTTTTCTAAAATATTTTTTTCCTAAACTATAAAAGTAGCTTTTGGGAAATATATTGCTTAATTTTTTGAAATAGAGTAATATGACCTAGAGGTAGTCATTCCCATGTAGTTACTTATATGTGGTTATAATTAATACTACTGAGCTCATGTCTGGACTGGCAGAAAGCTTAAAATCCATTTGCATTTTGCATCAAAAGCAGCTGACGTCAGCGGACTAATTGCACATGAAACTTTCCTCTGGGAAACAGTTTCTTCTTTGTCCCCTGTTAGTGAGGTGAAGTGACTAGCATATTTTTTCTGAATCAGTATTATGAAGGTCGGGAAATTATAACCCTTTTGATTTTTAAAAACTGATTGATGCCATCCTTCTCCTTGACTAATGACCCTAATGAACAGCTTGTCCTAATGAGACTTGTTTCAGTTAGTAGCATATGTTGTTTTAAAATGGCATATCCTTTTTATAGTTGTCATAACATTTTAGTTTGAGTACTTCTGTGCCACACCCTGAACACTGACATGCTTTGGGCTTTATGAAGAGGCCCTAATTGTTTTTCCTTCTCAGTGATCTGAACTAGAGACAGCCCTGCCAGTACACTTTTAGAGTAGATGGATTGCTTCTTGGGAAGTGTTAAGAGAAGGGCATATTCCATAGAATGATTATCCAGGGGAGAAGAGAACATTACCTTTCCAGTTAAATCCCTTCGATGTTGGCTCCTGAGCTCAAAGAAGAGTGGGAGATAAAAGTATCAGTTTATTCTATGTGCCTCTCGATGCTTTCTCCCCTAGGTCCCATTAGCAGTGTCCTGGTGAATAAGTATGGCAGCCGGCCAGTAATGATGTTTGGTGGCTTCCTGTCAGGATGTGGTTTGATCGCTGCTTCATTTTGTAACACTGTGCAAGAGCTGTACTTTTGTGTTGGAGTCATTGGTGGTAAGTTGAGGTATTCTTCTACCTGCTGTGATTCCTAGCATTGGTTGTTTTGCCAGCTGTCTGCCGACATTTTAAAGAAGTGTCTTTAGTAGAGAAATTGGTAAGTGCTCAAAAACACCCTCACAAAAATGATGTGCCTGACACCCAGAGCATTATTTCAAGAAGTGCCATCTCACTGTCTTCGTAAAGAACAAGCTATACCATGCTAACCTCACTTCATTTTTTGACTTTGTTAGCAGACTGGTAGATCAAGGGAATATTCTAGATGAGGACTTCAGTAAAATATTTGTCAAAATCCTTTATAATTCTCTTTTGGACAAGGTGGAGCAATGTAGGCTAGATAATAGTACAATTAAAAGGACTCACAAATAGTTGAATGACTGGTTCCAAAGGGTAGTCATAATTGATGTCAACCCAGAAGGAGTTCTCTTTAATGGAGTGCCCCAAGGATCTGTCTTTGGCCCTGTTAAATGATAACTGGTAAACATTTTTACTGATATCATGGATGAAGGAAATAATAATTGACATTTATGTAATGTTTAAAATTTTTCAAAGACTATATTCATTGTATCATTTCTGCTTAGCCCTTTGAGGTAAATCCTACAGATATTTTTATCCCCATTTAACAGATTAGGAAACTGAGACTAAGAGCCTGTACTTGGCATATAGTAAGCCTGACTTGATGCTTGTTAATAGATTGATAAAGTAGTACTTCTTTATAGGGTGATCAGATACTAATTCCTGGAGGTGATGCAGCTAGAAGTGGAGAAAGTGTAATAGATTTGAGGGAACAATACTCATGATTATTTTTAATCCAATTACATTACTTACCCCTTAAACATATTTTGATGTTAATTATTTCTTTTTCCCCCTCTTTAGGTCTCGGACTCTCCTTCAACTTAAATCCAGCTTTAACCATGATCGGCAGATATTTCTTCAAAAAGCGTCCATTGGCAAATGGGTTAGCCATGGCAGGGAGTCCTGTGTTTCTGTCTACCCTGGCACCTGTAAATCAGATTTTCTTTGATATCTTTGGCTGGAGAGGCAGCTTCTTAATTCTTGGGGGTTTGCTACTAAACTGCTGTGTGGCCGGATCTCTCATGCGACCTATAGGACCCAAACCAGGGGCAGTCACAAAAGAAGTATCTAAAGAAGCCCTGCAGGAAATAGGGAAGCTGGACTCCAAAAAAGGTGCTGGTGATGCCAACACAGATCTCATTGCTGGAAACAGCAAGCCGCAGAAGCGTTCTTTCTTCCAGACAATTAATAAGTTCCTAGATTTTTCCCTGTTCAAGCATAGAGGCTTTTTACTGTACATCTCTGGCAATGTGTTCATGTTTTTTGGATTATTTACTCCCTTAGTTTTTCTTAGTAATTATGCCAAGAGTAAGCATATAGCTAAAGAGTCTGCCGCTTTTCTGCTCTCCATTTTAGCTTTTGTTGACATGGTAGCCAGACCCTCTATGGGACTTGTAGCCAACACAAAATGGGTGAGACCTCGAGTGCAGTATTATTTTGCTCTTTCAATAATCTCTAATGGCATATGCCACCTATTGGCACCTTTATCCACCGATTATGTCGGGTTTTGTGTCTACGCGGCATTCTTTGGATTTGCATTTGGCTGGCTCAGCTCAGTGTTGTTTGAAACACTAATGGACCTTGTTGGAACCCAGAGATTCTCCAGTGCCGTGGGTTTGTTGACGATCATGGAGTGTGGTCCCGTCCTTCTGGGGCCACCGCTTTTAGGTATAGTATGTCTGTTTTTAAATATGATATGCCTAAGTATGTAGGTTTGGGAAACCTAGATAACTTCTATAAAGCACTAACCAACTACCGGTAGTAACTACTGCTACCAGGAGCAGACAGAGAATTGTACGAACTTTACTTTGGAAAGCTTAAGTAGAATTCTCCCTAAGTCAGGAAGTGAAATTAGCTCCATAGTAATCCTTTGGGATGATTTGAATTATTTGGCTTGACAACAGAATCAGGATTCAAAACTTTCTGGATAGGCTAGAACGTTATGCTGATTCTGAGATAAAATTCAGCATGGATAAATGTAAAGGGATAAATGTACTTGGTTAAAAAAGAAAAAGAAACAACTTTACAAGTGCAGGATGAGAGGGGCACAGACAGCCATTTGTCTGAAAAGGATCTAGGTGTGTTAGTGTCCCACAGGCTTATTATGAGTTAATGTTATGCCAGGGCATCAAAAAAGCTAAAGCTTTTTGTCTTGGGATGCATTAAGAGGCATAGCTTCCTTGACTAAAGAGATGATAATCCCCTGTCGTCTGGTCAGATCGTGTCTGGAGAGTTGTGTTCAGTTTTGAATAGCACAGTTTAAGAAAGCCTTTGGTAGTCAGGAGAGTGTCCAAAGGTGAGCAGACGGGGGAGGGGGGGGCCCCGCGTGATTTTCATGTGAGAATCGGCTGAAGGAGCTGAGAAAAGGGGAGTCCTCTAGCAAGAGACTCAGGAGGGAGGACAGGATAGCTGTTTTCAGATATTTGAAGGGCTGCCATGTGGAAGAGTCACTTGATCAATAAGCATTTATTAAACAACTACTGTGTACCAGGTCATGTTATTTGATGATGGGGATAAAAAGATGAAAAATAAACAATTCCTGCCATCAAGGAGTTTGTACATTCTACCAAGAGGAGCCAATGTGTATTTAAATATTTCCAAATCATATATAAAATAAATACAGAGTAATTGGGGGGGGGGAAGGTTTAAAATTATTAGACTTATTCTATTGCACTTATTCTGTTTGTCCTTAGAGGGAAGAACTAGGAATGTTGGGTGGAAAGTCACAAGAGAAATACTTAATATTTGATGCCAGAAAGAACTTGCTAACAGTTAAAGCTATCTGAGAGTGGGGTGGGCTGCCTTCAAAGGTGGTGGGTTCTCATTAAGTTACTTCAGATGTAGGCTGGATGTGGGGATTTCTTTGGGGTATGGGTTGGGCAGCTGACCTGTGAGATCCCTTCCACCTCTTCAATTCTGAGATTTTGTGAAGGTACGTAACTAATGGAAGCACTTGGTCTTTCTGAGAATGCTTCATGCCTGCAGGGCTCTTTATTAGTTGTGCAGTATGAAACTCATGGATCTGTTTTGGCCTCTTTTCTGTGGGAGGGTGGGTAAGTAGCAAAGGAGGAAATAATACTAGACTATTAAATTGTCTTAAATAGACAAAATTGAGTGCTCAAAATTAACTGGAGGTGTAATAGAAAGGGGTTCTAATCCTAGTTTCTGTTTGTTATTTTACTGACTAGAAGAATGTTCTTTAGGTGTTTCTTCTCTCTCTAAAACTTAATTTCTTATTCTTTAAAATGAGATTGTTGGGCTAGATGATTTCTTTAGTTGTCTTCCATGTTTTTCATCCTAAAACTTCTAGGAATAAGAAACTTGTAGAATCTGCTTCAGAAGCCCCAGTAGGGGCTCACATGATCCATGTACGTGATCCTCAGTGATCTATGACCTCTAACTAAATCTCACCACTTTTAGTGTGAAGATTGTAGTTTGCAACTTTGTCGCATCAAAATTCAGTGGTAGCATCTTGGGAGGCTGGTGATATCTCATCTTGCTAACCATGGAACATCTCTTCTTTTTTGATTTATTGTAGGTCGTCTCAATGATATGTATGGAGACTATAAATACACGTACTGGGCGTGTGGCGTCATCCTGGTTGTGTCAGGTATCTACCTCTTTATTGGCATGGGCATCAATTACCGCCTTTTGGCAAAAGAACAGAAAGCAGAGGAGGAATTGAAAAAGGAAGGAAGAGAGGAAGAAACCAACATAGATAACATTGAGAAGCAGAAAGAAGCCAATAAGGCTGTGGAGTCTGCCCAGCAAAAACCTCCAGAAGAAGGCCCCAAAGAGGAGGAAAATCGTATTTAAGACTGCTGCACTGCAGAGGTGGGGAGATAGAGGGGAGAGCTGAAAATGGTCTCCTGGCCGACTGGGTACCAGTGGTGCTTAATGCAGAAAAGGGTATTTCTGTGCAAAATTGAACCAGGTGTTCCATGGAATTTTTCAATTTTGAGTTTTTTCCTTTTATATTTAATATCATTACAAACTAAATCTGCCATATTTTGGAGAGGAGTAAGGATGAAGGAAAGGAATTAGTTTTTATATATTGAATTTTAATAGTGACTTGAAGAAACTTATGTGCCTTAAATGTTTGTCTGTAGACCTCCTCATAAAAGCCTTAACTTTTAAAATAGTTTAGTTTTGTTTTGTCTTTAAAATTATCTCATTTTTAAAAAATCAGGCAGCAAACATACCTGGAAGAAAAATACACAAAACCCCACGTGATGATTAAGGCAGCAGGCCCAGTGTTGATCCTAGTCTGAAACTAACTCTGCCTGCTTCATGGTACTTTTGTCATGTCCTGCTGTGGCACATTATCCCAGGGAGCTGTGTTGGAAGGACTGACTAAGAGCTTTGAAGTTATCTTTTACTGTTAACATTTTTCTTTGTGTAATTTTGCCTCCCATCCACATTTTCTAACCGTGTCTCTGTGTGAGTCAGAATATAATTGTAAAAAAACCATTTTTTCCTTTAATATGACTTACTCTCAGTACTCCAAATTTTTTTTATTATTATTTTTCCCTGGGATAATAATTGGAAGTTAAAAATGCTCATGGGAGGTTTTTTTTTAACACTTTTATTAAAATTCACTGGTTTTTTTTAAAGTGTAAAGTGGGTACTTCTAACTCTTTATTGTACATTAACCCCACTTTTGAGATAATTTGGTTTATTTCTCTTTTTTTTAATATTAGAAAGTAGAGTGTTGTTGTTTTTTTTTAAACAAGTCTGTCTTTGGGCTGCCTTAGTAAACATCCTGAATTCCATTAAATGTAGAGTAGCATTTGAAGGAATGACTGAATTTAGCTCAGGTGTCCCGTCCCCCCCCCCCCAAAAAAAAAACCTCAGTTAAACTTAGTGAGACTATTGAGACATTTTTTCTGGCAACTTTATTTTTCCTCTATTCACACTGGTTGCCTTTTGCTCTGCTCAGAGCTTTAAGTGTGTGTAAGGTTTTATTTTTGTTTGAAAGTTTTTCCATGTTTGCATACTAAACCCGGCCAGAGGAATTTGGCCTTGTAGACTGACTATTCAGGAGAAGATGGGAGGGAATTTGCTGCCGTACTTAATACTCAGTAAGGACTTTCACTGTCTTTCTCATTAGACCTTAAAGTGAATTAAGATAATTAGTCAGAAACAATTAGATTTATTCTCTTCCCAATAGGAACCTGAAGAGTTTGTGAGCCTATTTATTCACTTCAAGTTAGAGAATTGGAGTTTGAGGACATAAGAGATACGGGAAAGGAAGATTAGGGAAAAGAGTTTTCCCTAATGTCTTGTATACAGGGAGGAAAGAAGAGACTGATAAAAAGGCAGTCTGTGAACAGAATTAACTTAGAGTAAGTGACATAGTAAAAGTGTTGATCCAAAACCTTGTAAAAGGCTAACTTTTCCAAATAAATACTTTTTTAAAAAAATTCATTCACCAAACTCTGATTTGTCTGTAGGAACCTGAGTCTTTTTCATTTCTTATAGCTAAGTTCTGGAGTGTCACTTGTCAATATTAAACCAATCATGCCAGCTTTTATGTGCCTTGGAGGTTTGTTTATGTGGTTGGTGTCCTTCATTTTTTTCTTTCTCTGCTCTCCGTGTTTTAAGGCAGGCAGACAAGATGTACATTTTTTTTAACTTCCTCTCTTACTTCAACAGCGTTCAGATAACTTAGACTTCAGGGAAAGATGCAGAACTCACTTTTCATGTAAAATCTGAGTGTATTGTTGTCCTCCACCCCATCGTCCTCCCCCCAGAATATGTGTTTAGAAACAAAATGTAATTGACTGAATATGGTATAAATTTTGTTAGAATTCATAAAAAATCAAGAGGCTGGGGGAAAGAGGAAGCTCTATGGAAAGAGGCACTTACTATCCTCTGCAAGCAGAGATAAGAGTTCCATAGCCAGATAACAAAGATGACAGCACTGCTTTGTAGATTTGTAGCATCTTATAACAAAAGGGGACCTTAGAGATCATCCTGTCAAATACTCTTATTTTAAAGACACAGAAACTGAGGTCCCAAAAGGTATGTGATCTGTCTTGCATCAGGCAGCAAATGGGTAAGAGTGTTGGAGCTAGAACCAGGCCTCCGAGCTCTCTTTCCATGAGGCTATATTTCCTGTTCCTCTGAATGGCCAGTTACCACTTTGATGTAAGTCAGACAAACAGGGGCTGCTGATGCTTTCTGTCCCACTGTGGAGGCTTTTGAATGTAGGAAGTGTAGGAATTCTTCAGTCATCACTGCATTTCACAGACTATTGCATATTGCTTTAAGAGAGCAGATATGTATGCACAGTGTGTTAGCCTGTCTGCTTCATCCTTTTTCCCATGCTTAAGATGGGGATCCAGTTACCAATCATGCCTGATGAATGCCAGTAAAGATTGTAAATTTTAAAAAAGAACAAAAATAAAGTTGAAATGAGTCAAGGGTAGAATCTGTCACCTAAGACAAAACTATTAAAGGATTTGGGGGAAATTCATCATTTTATTTTACTGAATGGCTATTAAATTTAATAGAAATAAAGGCATTTTCTCTATTCTAGCTTAAAACAACAACCAAAAAAAACAAACAAACCACAAGGTTCAAACTTTGTTGACAAATTTTACTAAATTCCACTGAAATTTGGAATTTTCTATAAATTCAGCATGAGAAAATGACCAATATAAATTATTAGGTTATACAAAAAATTCTTTAGCAAAAGATAAGATAAAAAAAATTATGAAAAATCCAGAGATATTCTTATATTAAGTGACCATTTCTGAAAATTTTAAGCTTGACCCAGAGACAGTGTTAAACGGTGTGATGTGAATAATTCTCTGGTCTTGATGGCTGACTGGGTTACTAGTTACATGTGTACTATATTTATGTGTGTGTGTGTGTGTGTGTGTGTGTGTGTGTTTATCATTGTTGTCTTCCTAAATTTTACAAAAGGAAAAGGACAATGTGGGTTGGGGTATTTGCTTTTTAAAGCCATTTAATGTTTTGTGTGAAGCAGTGTTTTATTGTATTGAATTTTGAACTTGTAAACTAGGTATTGATTTTATGTTTTAGTTCCAAGTATTTAGGTTTTTTCTCCCTTAGTAAATGGTACACACAATACAATAAACTTAGCAATAATTAGTATACATGTTGTATCAATTTTTTCTTTTTGAAGGTAATTTGAAAAGGGAGAGGAAAGGTAAATGCTAAAGTGATGCCTTCATAATAAGGCGTTTCTACTACTAAAGTACACTTGTTTGAAATCGTGTGCATAAAAGACCTCATTTTATAGTAGCTGAGGTGCAGGTTGTTACCAGCCAAGCTTACCTGTCATGCTCAAGTGTGGGCATCAGAAGTTTGGCCTTTGTAATAGTAGCTCAACAACTGAACGAGGTCACCAGTGTGATAAACTGAGTCATAAGCAACTAGGATCTTCATTGACCTTTTGTTATGGATAGAATAATGTTAGTATTTAACAAGGTCCTAGAGTAGAGCTGGAAGGGACCTTAGAGGTGATTTAGACCAACCCCTCTCATTTTACAAATGAGAAATCGTGGACAATAAAGTTTACACAGCTTGCCTGTGGTCACAAAGGTAATAAGTAGTAGAGCCTGGATTTTGAACCCAGGTCTTCTGACTCCCAGCTACAGTGCACTTTCCACAGTACCGTGCAATCTCATTTGATTACTGTTCAAAGAGTTGTTGACATGGCTTTGGGTAGGCAGAATGAGGGGAGTAGTTATAACCAAATTATAGCCATATTCACTCAGAAGAGAAGGAAGAATAAGTACCCCACCTAGAAAGTTCAGGAAATTGTTAAATTTAAAAAAAGCAACAACTAATAAACCAGAAATAGATCTGGCTCCCTACCCAGCTTTCTGTATCTAACAAGGCCTTCTGAATATAGGCCTTAATAAATAATTTCATAAGAGATCCGTTCATATAACAGGCATGTGTTAAATAATACCAGACGTGGAAGATAGAAATACAAAGAAGGAACCATTCCCTAGCCTCAAGGATCTCACATTCTGTGGGGTGGGAAATGAGATAACAATTAGGAGAATTGGAATAGGTCTAACTAGAGGATGGCAGGCATTTGTGCCAAGCCTTGAAGGAAGCCAGAGATTATAAGGGGCGGGAGGAAAGAGTCCATTCCAAAGCATGGGACAGGCTGTGCACAGGCATGCACTGTCACGTATGGAAGAGTAAATGGGCCAGACTCTCTAAGTCAAGTACAGGAATCCTGGAAAGGCAGCCCTGTGCCAGCTTGTGAAGTGCTCTAAGTGCTAAAGAGGGGAGTTTGTAGGAAAGCCCGAAGGAGACGCTGGAGCTTCATAAACAGATGAGTGACATGGTGAGACCTATGCTTTAGGAAAATATTGGGTCATTGTGGGGAGACTGGAGGCAGGGCAACCACAGGTATATATTTGGGTGCTGTCATGTCAAAGAATTCCATTGGTGGTGACCTCTTTGGGCTAATTTATCTATGCTTACACTAGTCTCCTTTATTATCAAGATCCTGCATTTGTAGGAGTCCTCTAACACAATGAATTGTAGTTGGTTGCCATGGAACAGTATAGCTAAATAGCTTCCTAGTGTGCTAACTCATGTTTATAAAATAAAATATGATTAAACATTTGTTAAGTGCCTATGTTTCAGGTACTATAGTAGGCTCTAGGGCCACAAGGACAAAAAAAGTTCCTATCATCTGGCAGTGGAGGGAAGAATATTCTACATGTACACAGAGGAGTGAATACCAAGGCAATTGGAAGAGGGAGAAAATGCTGATAAAACTGGGGGGGGGGCAGGATAGAGAAGATCAGGAAGAGAACAGGATGTGGATACCTGAGCTGATCCCTTAAGAAGTGGGAAAAGGATTCTGAGAGGCAGGAGTAAGAAAGGAGTATATCTCAGACACTGGGAATGGCCTCTGAAGACCCAGGCTTGAGAGAGAGAATTCCATGCTAAAAGGTCACTTAGTAGTTCAATTTGACTAGAATAGAATGCCTGAAGGGAAGGTAGGTTGGAACCAGATTGAGGGAACTTTAAATGTTAAGATAAGTAGTTTGCATTTTAGGCTGAAGTTAATAGGGAGCCACTGAGGATATTTGAGCCAGCGTGACATGGTCAAATCTGCTTTAGGAAGACTTGTCATATACGGGGGATGAATTAGAGGCAGGGACAGATTGAAAGCAGAGAGACCCAAGTAGGAGTTTATAACGGACATGACTAAGTGGAGGCCTAGACGTTTTCTCTGATCCTCATGACCTCTCAGATTTTTCCGAGATAGGAATTATGTGCAAAAGATAAAGTAATTCTAACTGGCTTAAATGAACTAACTTTCAAGAAGGATAATAATCCCTAATTGCTTGCTCAGCCTTCCAACCCCACTGCCCGCCCTGTTGCAGTAGTAAGGCTGCACAAACCAGTCCACTGACTTTGGACTAAATTCAGCTCTACGCCAGGCACCCCTCCCCCCTTACACTTTGATCCAGCAATACTGCTACTAGGTCTGGACCACAAAGAGATCAAAAATGAACGAAGACCCACAGGTCTTCATGGCGGCAAAGAATTGGAAACTAAAGCAGGAAATAGCTGAATAAGTTACGTACGTAATGTGGATGGGGTGGGATGCTATTGCATTGTAAGAAATTATGACAGGGGTGGGATGCTTTCAAAGAAACTTAGGATGACTTGATGAAGTGATACAAGTGAACAGAACCAGAAGAACAGTGTGTACAACTATAAATTGTAGCTAACTCTAGAAGACTTTGGAACTCTGATCCACATAATCACCAACCACAGCTCCAAAATACCCGTGATGAAAGACGCTATTCACTCCAGAGAGAAAACTGATG